CACAGAAGCCACCCCTGTAGCCCTCCCCCCCCAGCTAGCAAAACCTTGCCACGCAAACCCAACACAGACGTTGACAAGGATTTCAGTTATCTCCAATGTCACTGCCTTCTTTTGGGGTGCTTTTTCTCACCCTCCGCAAAGCTCTGAGGCAAGTTTTGGGTTGTCTGTGATTACTGAGGTCATGCCGCAGTGGTCACACGTCCTAACCTATGGCCTTCCAGCTTGTGTGCTGATCTCCTTGTGCATGCTGAGGTCACTGGACTGAGCTCAGCAAAGGTACTCTGTGACGCTGACATCAAAAGCAGAAGCCAAAGCATGGTGTCCTCAAACACCAGCCCCCTCTCAGACAAGGAGGGACTTTTACATCCCCCACAACACGCATTTGGGATTCTTTCACCAGGTGCCTTCTTGGAAGCAGTTGTACCTCACCATGGATTTTCCTGGCTACTTAATGAGTAGTGCAGAGAGGGAAAGGGCCCTGCAGAGATGCTGCCTTTCTATTTCAGTTTGCATTTATTTTCAGGTTATTTTCACCCTTCATAAAGGGTGAATACTTTTGCCACAGGGCTTACTCCTAACGATGACTCAAAAGTCAAAATGAACATAAAAATAGTCCCCCATCTCCTATGTTATTTTGTTCTTTTCAAATTGGAAGAGAGTCTGACTGTTTTCTTAAATGCTGCACGTAATCAGGAATGTTACATTTTCCTGTATAAATTATCCTTGTGTATTGAAATATAAACAGCCCATGGGAAAGAAATTCAGTGTACATTTCATTTCTTCCATTGTTCAAGGCAAAAAAAAAAAAAGTACTCATCTGCTGAGAAATACTCTGCTTACGCAGGGGAAACCAATCATCAATACTGACTTACCAGCATTTTAATGATCGCCTGTAGGGATCCCAGAAATTATAACATTCAATCATCACAACAAGATCATGGCAAAAACAATAATGAGCACCAAGAATCCCTGTGACAAATGCAGCTGGTGTTGACGGTGACACTTTGGGGTACCATTAAACTGCTTGATTCTGGTGATTCTAAAGGAGAATTTTAGGCAGTCTTAGGAAGATACTGGGACTTGAAGTGCTGTCAGTGCAGCGAGTCACTGCGTGCCCAGTCCAAAGTCCCCTGGGCTGCGAGAGCCTGGAGGTGACCGTCTCCATCTCCTGGGATGGTCTGGAAGCTGCCGACTTGGCACAGGGCAGATACTGTGAAGCCTTCCGACGCACACGAGATCAGACCAGGCGCTTTCTTCTCACCCACATCACCGAGGAGATGTTTTTGTGTGGCTGTCACAATAAATTACAGAGCTGTGTGAAGCTGACGCTGTGGATGTTTCAGTTCCTCGGCTTCTTCCTACAAGACCGTCTTGGGGAAGGGAAGTTTATGTGCTGGTCTCCGTGGCAGTTTACTTGGCCAATGCCCAAGAGGCAAGGCAGAAAATGAGAAAATATCAGCCTGTCTGCTTCATGCTTCTCCTTACTCAAGACAATTAATCATAATATAATCTAGGCCTAAGGATTAGAGAGACAAAGAACAAAATGTACTGGATAACCTATGGGGAGAGTAACTTTAATAAAGTCTAGTAAGGGATAACTGCTCGCGTTGCAGCTTTCCCTCAGTCGATTTGCTTAGAGTCTCTTCTTTCTACTTTAAATATCAACACAGAAGCAGAGCACAACGAGATTTGCCTTGTTTCTGCAGGAAAGTAGATTATGAGACACAAAGATACTAGCTGTGGCTAAGGATGTCTGCAAGCCTCCAGACCTGGATGGTGGGCGATAATCTTGGGAAAGTTACAGGAGAGGTTCCCTGGGTCCGTAGCCACTGTCCAAGGCAGGGTGGTGGGCTAGATGTCCTCACCTCATTTGCTTGTATCTCTGAGTCTTCAATTACTCTATCAAATTCAATCAAAATCAGCAAATAGATTCACGAGTTATCACAGGGGACAAGCAGACGGCAAGACCCAAGGTTACGAATGCACACAGCGTGTTTCCATAGGAAGCCAGGCTAAAACAAAAGGCCGATGTTTGAAAAGTTACTAATGAAATGACTTCCTTAGGAATGCTTGCCGGTTTCCTACAGGGGGAAAAAAAAAAAAAGCTTTACTTCATTTTTATTGAATGGCATTCATCAGAGATTGTCTCCCACTGGTAATTCAGGAGGTGAACCTGTGTGTTGTTATGTGTAAAGAACATTTTCCTTGAAATAATAAATATGTGTATTTAAAAAACCCCAGTCCTCTGTTGCCCTGCTTACCCACCAAAGTAACGAACTGCCCAAACTAATGTAAGCAAAATTTACCCATAAGCCCAGAATATTAACCAGGAAATTCCAGTGCTCTTAAAACTTGCAATAAGAGAAAGTAGAATTACTAAAAGTATAAAAGCCAAAGCCCCCGTTGAGGTCTGTGTGTTCTTTGTTTATGCCACTGCAGAGTGTGCTAGACAAATGTGTAGAGTTTGTAAAATCCTTTGGGAATCCCTGAAAAATGAAGTGGGGGGAAAAAAGATTAGCTCCTCACACAGGGGCATAATAAAACTACTGAACATTTCTGTCTTAATTGTGCTTCGTGCTAGAGTATAAGGGAAAGTTATCACAGCTGAATAAAATGCTAAACTCTCCTAGCATCAAAATTCCTCCTTTAATGCAATAGCAGGAATAAACCTCTCACTTCTAAAATATAGTTGACTAAAAAAAAGGCTAATAACTCATAAAGGTTTTACATACAATGAAAAAAAAGTCAAAGCCTGTAAAGTTACTATGCATGAAATATGATAATCTAAACCAGCAGTTTAATTTGCACTTCCGCAGATCAGAGCTAATATTCCCATTGCACAAAGCCATAATGAAACATACTGTTCCACTGACAACAGAAGAAAACATTGTGAGTTTTCGTTTGTTTTATTTCATTTGCTCACTCATAAAATATGCCTTTTGCCACCTGTCAGTGCATTTATCCTCCTCAGTTGGAGGATAGCAAACCATACTTGACATGGTACCTGTTCAACAAAACTGAAAATGCTAATCCTCCAAAAGCAAGGACCAAAATCCCTATTAGTAGCCGTAACTCATGGGAAACAGAACCATATGTTTAGTGGAGAGTAATTACGGTGAACGATAACAAGAAAAGTTGCTGAGGGTGTTTCAAAGCAGGAATACCACAGAATGGTTAAGTGATTGCAAATGAGTTAGGATGGAGTTCAGTGCAGTATTGAGATACGTGGAGTTAGGAGTCTCCGCTCGAGTTGTCTACCCATGACCTTCCCTTAGGGTCTGGGGAGAGCAATGGCTTGATTTAGTTCCCTAAATGCATCCAACCTGGGATGTTCTAGGTATCCTGCCTGGCGCACAGCCACCAGACTGGAAGGGTGTGGGTCTCCTGGAGGCCCTGTCTCATATCTGCCAGCCCTGGATAAATGTCCTAGATAATCGAGGACACCTCAAACAGTTCTAGAAGCCTCATTTTATCTGAACAGCTCTTGTGTTGGCTAGGTGTGCACTGATGTGGGTAGCTACGTTGTATGTAGAGGCCCGTATCACTGGCAGCCTCGTTTAGATATCTGCAGTCTGGTCGCAATGGCACCCCTCTAGTCTGCCCAGGCAGGAAATGCAGGAGTTGGCTAACTTTGTGTTTCTTTCTTCTGTAGGGCCGTGTCGGGGTGGGGGGTGTGTGATGCTGGAGCCCCTCATGCAATGAGAAATAACCCTCTCCTCTATGCATCTGTATAAATGTATATTTAGGTGATGCATTCACACCTCTGCTTTGGGAGATGAAATCTTGCCTCATGCAGCCCCTCCAAGTCCCATAAACTGGGACTAACCCCACTGGCTCCTGATCCCCATCATCTGCTTGCAGGGCTTGGTCTCAGGCTGCAGCTGAGAGGTTTGAGGTGGGAACCTGGGCTCATGGGATGCTTGTGTGAAAGGTGCTTCAGTGACAGCCAGCCCCATGGCCTCTCGCAGCTAGGTGTTTCCATGCACAGACCATTGTCTCATGACTGGAGAAGAAAACATCTAGAGCAGGACCTAAGCCCTTCATAAAGAAAAAAAACCTTCTTCAACAGCAGTATTTCCTTCCAGGTCACTTTGTATTTGAGCAAGAGCCCAAGGGGATTGCCTGGGGACACCAAGATCTTCCTCCACAAGGAGAAGGTCATAGCAGCTCTCCAGGCAGCTGATGCAGTGTTGGCATGGCATAACAAATGCAATATTTTGGGCTCCCTTTGGGTCTGTTCAAGAACTCTCTGCTGTATCCTGGGCTTCAGATGCCAGAAGACACAATTTTAGACCTAGTTGCAGTGGATGAAAGCTGGTTTAGGAGTCAACTCAGCTCAGAGCTACAGCAAATTTGGCCTCTGGCTGATACCTGAGCAAGCAGACTCGCTCATCCAAATGATCCGTTTTTGGTGAAATGCCAGGCCTATCATTGCTTCTTTTTTTCCTGCTGAAAATCTATTTCACAGGTGTGCTGGCATTTAGGCCCAGTTTTACATTTTACTGTCCCAAGGGATTTGTGAGATGTGACATTATTTGTTTGGACCGCACGAGTATCTCAAGTCTCACCAGATGGCACTATGTTCAAACGTTGACACTGGACGGCACAGGGGAGGACAAGGTGTCCATGCAGGAGGTGTAGAGATGTTCATATGGAGTGTAGAAACACAAGCAAGTTCCCAGCACCTGGCTGGCAAGCTGCAGCTCACGGTGCACAAGCTTAGCATGCCCCAAATGAGACTTCTCACACTGGGGGAAGATGTTGAAACTCAGTCAGTCGTAGAAACACAAGCAAGTTCCCAGCACCTGGCTGGCAAGCTGCAGCTCACGGTGCACAAGCTTAGCATGCCCCAAATGAGACTTCTCACACTGGGGGAAGATGTTGAAACTAAGTAATGTTCCCTTGCATGTGGGGTGGGCTCCAGGTGCCTCCAGCCCAGCCCCTGGGGGCAGCACCATGTCCAGTGCCTGAGCATACCTGATGGCAATGCCATCCATAAGGCATCTTGTGTTTTCATACTGTCTCATTGGGGCAGCATTTCCAGAAGTCCTCTTTGGCTGAAATGAACAGTAAGACTCACACAGGTTAGCTTGAGAGGAGCAGAGGCTTAGCGCTGTCAGAGCAGAGCATGCCACAGACCTCAGCTCATGGCCGTGCTCCATGGGATTATCAGGTATGGAAAGACCTGGACGGAGTCTCTGCACTGGGGACAGTTCTCGCACCTCTGTTAGGCACCACTGGGAGATCACCCATCCTGCACAACAGTGACAAGCTCTCCAGCACATGGCCAGATGGCTGCAACTATGCTGTAGCTGCCTGGCCATGTCCAGATGCCCTCTAAGAGAATTAGGAAATGAGGGGAAGGCTGAGCAGGCTGGGATGGGACTGAGCAAATACTGTGCTGAGGAGCCACAGTGACGCTGAAACACCAGTGCTTGTCTGATGTCAGATGGCTGAGCACTTACCCATCCCTGAGCTTGCACATGGCCAGATGGCTGCAACTATGCTGTAGCTGCCTGGCCATGTCCAGATGCCCTCTAAGAGAATTAGGAAATGAGGGGAAGGCTGAGCAGGCTGGGATGGGACTGAGCAAATACTGTGCTGAGGAGCCACAGTGACGCTGAAACACCAGTGCTTGTCTGATGTCAGATGGCTGAGCACTTACCCATCCCTGAGCTTCCCCAGCCCATGTCAGATGGCTGAGCACTTACCCATCCCTGTGCTGCCCCAGCCCTGTGCACGGTTCCCCTCTGCGACGGGCTTCATTCACGCTCCCCCATGGCACAAACTGCACACTCCCCAGCCCTGTGCACGGTTCCCCTCTGCGATGGGCTTCATTCACGCTCCCCCACGGCACAAACTTCACAGCTATCTCAAGAGCGGCAGTTCTCGGGAAGGAGAAATCAATCATTTTACAATTCAGCAGGTTCCTCAATTTGTATGGAGAAATAAAGAGTGGGAAGAAGGAGAGGGAGAAGGAGCAGAAGAGATGGGGACATGAAGCAGAGATGTTGGATATGTTGCTGTTTACACTGTGCTGTTCTGCTCTATACCTAGTTTTGGTATGCTTTTTGTTTTGCTTTGAGCGTATGTAGAATGAAATAACTATGGTGCTTGTATATCTTGATCTCTTATTCACAGGTGGAAAAGAGAAGAGCAGCAAAGGAGAAGATTTTTGACATACATGCTAGTGACTGCAAAAAGCACAGTCAAAGCTACTTTTAAGGGATACCAGATTCGATACAGGCTTCAGGTAAGGTTCCCAAAAGGAACCCAGCACAGAAAGACGATTTCAATGTGCTTTTGCTCTGAGGCAGAATAGAACGAGATTATTCCATATTTTTCCACTACCCTTGAAAAAGAGTGTGCATATGAGGCCTGAAGCATTGATTTGCAGTATGCTGTATGCTCCACGCCATTTCTTTGAATTACAGTTAGGGTCACAGGATCCTCAGATCTGTAAGACCAGAACTTAGCACACAGTGAGAATTACCTAAGAATAATTTAAGACTAGAGTTTCCATGACCTGTAGCCAAATTAACCAAGAAAGCATTTCACGAGATGTAGTTAATATCTCTGGGGGGTAAGAAAGGTGCACTGAACACAGAGCGTAACACTTTTGTTACCCATACTTAGCTGTCTGTATTCAGGAGATGTGAGCAGTAATTGAAAGAAAAGGTCTTTGTCCTTTTTGGAGTCTGCTTGGCTCAAATCCTGCCTGTGTGTAATAGCTACCTGCCTGACTTTGACCTAAAACATAGAAAAATGATGTGCTTTTGTTTTTTAAACTTACCATTCTGTGTGTTCATCTTTACAGTTACAGTGGAGTAACTGCTTTGGAAGACGTTCACAAGGACAGTCCCTTCTGGTGGGTCACTGTCTGCAGCCTGAGCTCATTTTAGTGGTTACTTCCCTCAGCTCACTGATTACCGCCGGTTACTTACTGCTTTAACGTTTAATGTTTTATTTCCAGGAGAGTTTGCCCATGCTTTACCTGACCTTTTGGCTATTAGTTTGCTCTGCAGGAGATATTGCTGCTGATGTTCTTCTTTCATGTGTGCCTTGTTCATTAAGCCATGCAAGGTGCCGCTTGCTGCCAGCTACAGAAGAGCCCGAGACAGAGGTCGCAGCAGTCCTGCGCTGAGCAGGACAAGACAGCTCTCTCCACTTAGGGTCTTTTCTTCTACACATATTTAACACTTGCCGGTGGAAGAGTGCATGATGGTAAGGTTTGAAAACACTCATTGCTTTTCCAGGCTATTTGGAACAAATTAAGGGCTTTACTCTGGCAGGGAAGAACGCAAAGAACCTTTTAACTTTGCTTCACTGGACACCTGATCAGGCTCCAAGTTTTTCATCGTCAGTGTGGCAAATTTACTATTCAACAACATCAGATCCATGTGAATAGTAAACATGAACTGAGCTTTTCTTTAATGCGCATAAGGATTTGCTCGTCAGTCTTGCATGGGGACCTATTGGCCATTTAGTACCTGTGAAGGCACTTCTTACCTGATAACTGTTTCTGAGCTGTGAAATAGAGGTGATGACGCACCTTTTTCCCTCCATTGAACGTGTCTTTAGCCTGTTTTGGCTAGATTCTCCAGGGTGGTCACTATCCTGTTTTGGACACGCAACATGCAGTCTGAGTGCCAAGGCTGGTGGGACCCCTGTGCGTTACTGTCATGAATAATAATAATAAAACCACCTGGTGAGTTTTTTTAATTGACAGAGCTGTCTTGACTTTATTCAGTATTAGGAAAATAGCAATATTGATATTTGCTAAAAAATTGTAACAGATTTGCTAAAAATTATAGCAGAATGACCAAAGTTTGAGGGCCCCTGACATACAGAAACAGCAGAGAAGAAGAAATTTAAAAAAAAAAAAAAAAAAAAAAAAAAGAGACCAGCCATTAGAAAAGGCAGAGGTGTGGGGAGTCTGGTTTGTTTTTTTTTTTTTCCAGATGAATCTACAGGGTTCAGCTAGCTTAGCCCACTAAGACAAAGGCCAAGGTCATATACTTAATCTCTATAAATATATTAGGAATAAAGAAAATAATTGCTTATACAAAATAAAAAAAATGGATTTAGAACAAATAAGTATAAATGGTCCATGAAACAGAAGCTGATTTCTAATCATCAGAGCAGCAAGAGTCTGGAACAGCTTCTTGGTTCCCATAGGAAATGTCTTTTAAGGGTGAGAGGACTGTCAGGCACACAAGCTCTTCATCTCATTTGAAACAAACTGGTCTGAAACTCCAGGCCATGTACAGTTGCTCTGCGTTTAAATTCACTAAATTAACTAACTGAATGCCTATAATGGAGGGTTGTTGGTTGTTTGAGGGGTTTTTTTCTGGCATTGATGTGTTTGGGATAGGTTTGTTAAGATGATTTCTCAGTATTTCTGGAGATGTGTGGCTGTACAGTGTACGCAGGGTTGTGTGCGGTGGTCAGAAGGCCATCGAAAGGCTTCTCTGTGTTACATTGCTGCTTTTGCAAGATGATGATGTGATGGAGCATCTGTGAGAAGACACTGAATCTGAGAACTCCAGAGGGTTTGTTTTTTTGGGTTTTTTTTGCTAAAGATGAGTCTTACAAAATGAGGTTGTAACCAAAACTTTGATTCACCACTAGAAGGTGCCCGAAGTTCCTTCCACAGAACATATAGCATGTATGGATATACTGCGCTTTGCTTAAAGTCAGTTAAGATGTTTTGTCATTCTGTAACTCCTGCCATCTCATTTTCTCTCTAAAAATACCTACTTCCCAAGTCCAAAGATACCTGAGCACTTGCAGCAACAACAGATGGTCCCTCCTGTGTACGGTAACATTTCCAGGAACACAGATGCTCCCTTGAAAGATTTAGCTCCACACGGGCAGACATTAATGACTCTGGACAGTGAGGAAAGCTGGCCAAGCAGCCACAAATGTTGGTCAGAAGGTGATTGCTGCTCTTACAGCGATGTTTGAAGGACCACTGAGGCAGAGCAGTCACCCAACCACTTTGAGGACCCTGCCATTGGTACGTAGGGGAAATGGCAGTGTCACCAAAGAGCAAAGCCTTTCCTCACCACACAGAGCCTTTGCTGGGACAGCAGCAAACAAATACACACGCACGCGCACGCACATACAAATTTAACTGTTACCATCTAATGGGTGGCATCTAATGACTCAGGCAGGGCATGGACTTAAGTCCCACATCTGCTGCACTCCTCAGCTGGGAATCAGCTCCAAACTGCAAGCAACAAAATGTTGCTGTCAAGATGTCCCAGCTCTCATTAAGGCAAGCAGAGAGCTGCTTAGTGGGGTCTGTGGTGGGATTCAAGTCACCATGAGGCAGCACATGCCTTTGGCCAGCGGCATCACTCTCCGGACACCACTGGCACATAGACACCAGCACTTGGACACCTACATGCAGTCTGGATCTGAATTGTACCTTCATCTCATGGCTCTGGATAGATGTCATACCAACACACAGTAACACATCCCCTGCGGGCTCCTGTTTGTGAAGAGTGGGTGAGGCCCGGAGCAGAGGCTTCCTCTGCCGACACATCACCTGCCCACCAGCAACACTGGGGCCATAATCTCAGCTGGGACCTGGACGTGCTCTCGTGATACAACCCAGGAGAGCAAGGGGGTGCCAGGACTGTGTGGGGCTTTGGGCAAAGTTGCTGGGTGGCTCTTTGTCTCCCAGAACCTCTTTGTTTTCCAGGTGTTGCAGCGGTCGGCTGTCAACCCCATGCAAGGTGATTCAGAGGTGAAAAGGGTCCTGGAAATCTTCATCCATACACAGAATCCATCCAAATGTCTAAGTCCCATGAATGGCTCATGCTTTCCTCCCAAGGAAAGGCATTGGGAACCTCCCACTTATCACCCTTGAAAGCAAAAGCATGGGGTTTTTTTACTGATGTGCTGGAGAGCAAAGTTTTATCCTTCCAGTCCTTCCCAAGACGACTGTTATTGGTAGCAGCGATGTTGAAAACACTTTTGAGTGAAATCTGTCTCCACATTTTACCAGGAAATTTGTGTTGAAATGGCAAAGGATGAGGAGTTGAAAGCTGAAAGACCCTCTTTGTCCTCTTTGGCAACAGAATTTGCTTGTGAGGAGGAAAGAGGCGGTTGAAGAAAATCAGAAGAGGAAGAAATAATATATCCTGCTGCTGCAACTCCATGGATTAATGGCAAGAGCTGGAATGTAAAAAATTCATACCCAAAGGTTTTGCCACATCACCGCCACACACAGTGTTTATTGTGCTGTTTGCTGCACTTGCATCACCAAAATCTCTTGTCTAGAAAAACAATGTTTTCCTTAAAGTTCAGAAAGTATTTATTTGACTAAATAGTATTCTTTCCATCAGTGTTTCCCAGCTACAGTGTCAAATGGGGAACTATAGCAGGAACATACAGCATATGAAAACAATCTGGAAAGGAGAAACAGCCCCTGGAGGAAGGGAAGAAGCAAACTGAGAGAAGGAAAAACCTTTCCACAACCCCAGGCAACCCATTTGTAAAGAAGGAAATATCTCATCTGGGAAGAAGAATAACAAGAGGCTTCCCAGGACAGCAAAACTTTCTTAATGAATAGGATTCTATATCTGAACTATTCCCATATAAAATATATATATTTTTTCTGAACTTCAGACAAGGAACATCAGAGCCATCCGACAAGAAAAAAGTATTTTGGTAGAAGCTGCTTCTAGCTAAAGTACCATGACCTTTGATAGTCTGAAAAAACTGGAACACATTTCCAAGAGCTGTTTCCTAGCAATTGTGACGCTTTTAATCTTGATTTCTTGTACAATCCTCTTGAAGCATCTCCTGCTCTCTGCCTGTCCTCAGTTCCTAGCTGGATAGTTGTTTTTATCATCAAACAAACTGAATTACTGAGATGAATGTGGCTCAAGGTCTCACGAACAGAGAAATCACCGTGACTCAGTGAAGCACTCTGCAACCAAACAGAAACTACACAGCTTCCTCTAAATTTTAAGACAATTTCAACAGAAAAATAGGCACAATTTCTTCTGTCAGTAAAGCACCTCTTTCACATCCTGCAGTATCTGGCTGGACTGCAGTAAATGCATTTACAGTCTATAGAATTAAAATATTGCACACTTTTACAGAGAAGAAATTCAACTGACCAAAATTTCAAAGGCTAGGAACATAAATGCAGGTTAAAATCCCTACTATTTTAAATCAAGACAGGCTTGATTTTCAAATCCAGTCCTTCACCACTTCTTCCCAATGACTTCAGTAGGAGCAACCCACTTAAAACTCAGGTTATTCTTCTAAAGCAAGATTCCGGCTAGATTTTGGATCCCAGATTTACTTTTGAAAACCATCTGGACTCAGCTGTGTCTGTGCTCAGCTTTAGGTCCATCACTTGGTTTTGTTCAAATAACACAAGATATAGTAGCATTTACATCGGGTGCCAAATTTAGACATACAACCATAATGACATAATCTAAGCATGTGTTTAACATTTAGCCTAAGTGCTGTTTGTGTCTTCCAGCCAGTTTCCCTAAATATATAATAATATGTAATATATAATAATGTAACCCACAGATGAGTGTTCTTCAGAAAAAAACAGCATGAAAATGAACCAAAGCACCAGTCATGGCTCAGACTGCACCAGGAACCCAGCGACTCCTCCCAGCTCCACCCAGCATCACTTGACTTTCAATCAATGGTTTGAAATTTCATGAAATTACATCACTGCAGGTGAACAATGGGTCACTGTCAGCAGTGGGCATCACAGACCCAGTTGCCATAAGGTCTGCACTTCTGTAAGTATTGCCTATCTCTGTTACAGAGTTCTACAAATGCCAAGTTTTCCAGTAGTATGACCGCAATTACTAGATATCTTTGTGGCTTTATTTTTTTGATGGTAAAAGATGGTAAGAGTGAGAAGAATAACAGGAATCACGCTAAGTAAAGAGATAATTTTATCAATTTAATTTTACATCTATCCATCAGACCTTACTCTAGTAAGAGAACAGATCTAAACTAGCATCAGACTTGTTAGCCATTAGTTCTGCACTCTTAGAGATGTCTACAGAAACCCAATGACTGTTATTGTGATGACAACTGAAAGGGTGTTTGCAGACTGGTGGAACAAAATTATATAATTTAGTCATTTTCTGTGAGATAATAACGATGTTCTAATTGAAAAATGTGCTCTGATGTAATTATCCTACATCTTTATAAGTCTGCCTCAGGAGTGCAGTAAAAGAACAAATGGGAATATTTTTACTGCAACATGTGAGAAAAAGGTCTCAAAGTTTTATTTGTGTTACCTGATGCACGTTCAGGAGACAGAAGCAGCATAATAGCAAAATGGTTTCCTGATTTGGTCTGATAACCTCTTGGGGTAGGATCCAAAGGAAGATTTAGCCCCAAAAATCAGAGACAGACTTGAAGGTGGGACTCACACATACACATGGGTGCCCTGTGCCCTGGTAGATATTGGGATATTCCCCTTGGCTTCCACCCGCAGCTTCCAAAGGACATAGGTCTTCTACGTGTTATCTTCTGCCAGTCCATCTGCAGATAGGTTATATATTCCTGAGTGTCTAAAATGGCACTGGATACCTGTGTTTAGGCGCTTGGGTTGCATCCTCCATGTTAGAGTGACATTTGTTTTCCTAAGGAGTTATCCAGCTGAACCCTGGACAGGCAGGAGGGAAGAGGAAACAATTCCTCGTTTCTCCCAGCCCTGGGTTGCTGCTCCTTCTCTGCCATGTTTTCAATAGCAAGTCTTCTTTTGCAAAGAAACCAGTCTGAAATTGCTGTACAGCACAGTCTGCCCCCAGGACAGGCTCAGGCTCTGGATCCACGGGGCAGGACAGGACATGATCACCTGTGCTCTCCCTGGGGGTTAGCTCTAGGAGATCCCTTTTCTGGGACTGTCCTGTCAAACAGTCAGCTCTGTGCTTGCTACAGCAGCACGTCAGCTCTGGCTCTTCGACTCCGCTGCAACACCAACACTGACTTGTAAGCACCTATGTCGTCCATGTGGCCCTTTGGCTGGTTTGGGAAAGTATCCTAGTGTATAATCTGAAAGCTGCCTCATCCTCATGAGCTATCTGTAACACCAGGCAGAATGAAAGCCTGTGTGGCTTCCTGCCACGTCAGAGCCCGTGCAGTACCCTGGGACAATGGATGTGTGTGCAACTTAGGCCACAGAGGGCCTCACCTAAAATATCAGTAATATGTTCCAGGCTAAAGACTATGGCAAAATTAGCTAAGTAGAAAAAACACCACCTTCATTTCTGTATTGGGTCTGGAGTTAATTTTCCCCACAGCAGCCCTCACAGCGCTGCGCTGTGTGTTGGTGGCCAGCAAGGTGTTGGTAACATCTCGGTGGTGTGGCTACTGCTGAGCAGGGCTGGCACAGCACCAAGGCTGTCTCCAAACGTCCCCCCTCACCAGTAGGCTGGGGGTGGGTGAGGTCTTGGGAGGGGACACAGCCAGGACCCCAACTGACCAAAGGGATATTCCATACCATAAGATGGCTGCTCAGCAGTAAAAGCTAAGAGAAAGGAGGGGAGGGAGGGGGGTCATTTGCTATTTACAACGTTTGTCTTCTGGAGCAACCGCTACGCGTACTGAAGCCCTGCTTCCTGGGAAGTGGCTGGACATCGCCTGCTGATGGGAAGTAGAGAATAAATCTTTTGTTTTTCCTTTGCTTCCATGCATGGCCTTTTGCTTTAGTAAACTGTCTTTATCTTGACCTGTGAGGGTTTTTTTCCATCTTATTTTTCTCCCCTCCCTGTCCTACTGAGCAGGGCAGTGATAGAGCAGTTTGGTGGGCACCTGGCCTCCAGCCAAGGTCAACCCACCACAGTTTCAAAGAAGAGACAGTGTATTTGAGGTTGTTAATGGGCTGGCAGCTGCTGCTGGAGCTTACAGGGATGGCTGGAACTGAACTGCTGTTGCCCTAATTGCTTCCAACGGCAATCCCAGGGAGCAGAAGCTGAGCATGTCCTATTTAATGACATTTCTGCTGTGAATGAAGAGGAACCACCATCCGGGAGCCCCACAGAAAGTACAGGGAGAGCAGAGCGCATGTCAGGAACCTCTTTGGTGAAGGAGAAACAGCTGCTGCTTCTTCAGCAGCTGTTCTGTAACTCAAGTAATAACAGGCTCCTGGAAATTAATTTTTGGCACATTTACTGACCTAGTTTTTCTGACCTTCTAGGCATGTGGTGTGGTACCACTAACCCCCCCAGATGAGACAGCCCAAGTAGGAGTGCACTCCACTTGTTGGGATCCTTCCCACACCGAGCAGGGACAAACTGGTGGGCCCAGGAGCTCCATGAGAGCAAAGCTGTAGATGGCTGCCTTCCTCTTTTCCCCTCTCTGACCCCCCAGGGAAGCCTTAGCTGTTGGAGGAAGGTTAAGAAGTCACAAAGCAGCATGAGGAGGAAACAACAGAACCAAAATTCTTCTGCATTCACCCAAAGTCCCCCAGTAGGTCCCTTCCCAGCTTGCCATGCATGGGAGCCCATCCCAGTTGCTGTGAAGAGCCATCCACCCTCTGGCTTGTTCAGGGATTGCAGAGGTGGGAGGGGCAGGAGTTGGCCAGATGTCACTGGAAGACCCCTTGGCCATACCCAAAACACCAGGGAAGAAGATAGGGCCCTGCCAGCACCTGGCTCAGCTTTTGGAGGAAGGAGGAAGCCTGGGACGAGGATGCTCTATGCCTCCAGCACAGCAAAGGTGTGATGGCGGCGTCACACGCTGGTGAGCGCAGGGGCTCGAGGGGCAGCGTGTTTGCCAGGGTGCATGGGAGGTCTTGCAGCTTGGGCTGTCTGTCCATCCTGTCACCGTGCCCTGGAGCTGTCATGCAGGCATGGGGTGCTCCCTGCCTTCTCGTTCCTCATGCAGAGTAGATGTGTATTGCCATTAGCTGCATTGCATCTGCAAACGCCCCTGGGGCCCTTCCCCACTACAGCGAGGGATGGGCAGGCTCAAAATGTATTAATAATCAAGAGGGGTTTTATTTATAAGGTAACCTGCTCCCTGCTGTGGAGCTGGAGGAACTGTGCAATAAGTCATAATAAATCTAATGAAACAGTATAAATAAGTAACCAGCTTTAAACCTAGCTGTAGAATTACTAAGTAAATTAGTGAATGGAAAATTAGATTTTTGTTTTCTCTTCGTTGTTCAAGTTTCACGTGATTCTGGAAGCTGTAAATTTTTGAGGGGAACCTGTGAAGGGGCAGGAGATGTAGCCAAGGGTCAGAGAGATGAGAGTACCTCGAGCACCGGAGGGAAAAGGGCAGAGCTGTCTGTCCTTCAGATCGGGACCCACTGATCGGGGCCGAGGGGAGCAGGCAGTGCCAAAGGCTGGTCCTGGCACAGCCCCTCACCCCTCTCCAAACCAGCAGCACCTGGAGTTACGGTGGGCAATGACTTGGAGAAATCCTGGCCTTTGCCCTGCACGGCACAGGTTGAATTTCAGGTGCCACTGCAGTTCGTGCTGGCTGAGTCCTGGGCAGGGATTTCTTTTTCGCTTGTGGTAAACGTCTTCACAACGTATGACATGATTTCAAGCCAGCTATGACAAAGGTTTGGGTGATGTCATCACTGACACCCATCGCTCCACTCTCTGTTGGGCCACAAGGTGAGAGGCAGGGGCCGGGCTGGGTCTCTGCCCCCTCCATCAGCGACAAGCACGCAAACCAGAGCTGCTGTTGCCAGCTGATGTCCTGCTCGCCCTACTGCACCTCTACCACCAGAAGCTCATCAAAAAGCTGCAGGCTGAGAAAGCCTTTCAGAAGGAGATTCAGAGTTTTCAGGAGACAATGAAGAGCTTTTGGGAGAAGATCAAAGGCTTTCATGAAAACTTCAGAGATTTCAAGATGGCCATCCAACTCTTCTGGGAGGAGGAAAAGCCAGTCTAGGAGGAGGAAAAGGCTATTCAGGAGGAAGCAGAAGCCTTCTGGAGCGTGTATCGTGACTTCTGGAAGGACTATAATGTTTTCTGGAGGAAGGATAAGGATTTCTGGAAAGAAGATCAGCTCCTCTGGGAGAAAGACAGAGTCCTATGAGCAGAAGAAGCTCTGTGGGCAGATGAAACATTTCTCCTAGAAGAAGAGAGAGCTCTCTGAGAAGATGAGGAAGCCTTCCAGGAAGACAAAAAACCCCCAAGGAGTATGAAATGTTGACCTGGGAGGAGGCCTTTGGTCCTGAGACACTGTCTCCAGGGATGCCACTGTCCACAGGAGAAAAGCATAAATTGTTCTGCTAGGCTCAGAAGCATGTGGAAAGTCATGTATACTGATGTGGACACTTTATTTCAGCAGTGCTGTGCTTCAACCAGTTCTCTGAAATAGCATCTCTAGTTCTAGGAGTAAATCAGAATATGTTTTTTTTAATGCGATTTGCTTTAAAGCCATTGTGCTTATGTTTTCAGGACATTGTTTATTCTTTTGAGGTCCTGTGGCCTGAGTAATGGGGTAAACCTCTGGTTTCCCGGCCTGTCACCTGGTGGAGGAGTGTGAGCAGGTAAAGCCACAAGATGCTGAGGGCTCAATGGCTGAGATCATCTTCTGCAGCTCACAATATCTCACCTGACTCAGTGCAGTTTATATCAACTGAGTCAGTGCCAAAATTAGGCACTGATAAATAATAACCTTCAGTTCCCCTATGTTTAAGAATCACAGTTGACAATCCTGAGTGTTAGTGAGACAACTCTTCCTGTTGTCCAGCAAGTCCTTCAGCAAGGCGAGGGGGGACACTAAATAAATTTAGCAGTGTGAGTATGTATGTGTTTGTGTAGGAGCAGGAGAGGCAGCACACAAAGACTGGGATTATTACTCACCTGCTGAGCTCCTATTGCCAGCACAGGTACAGGAACCTCTAAAGCCTGTAAAGCCTGTAAAGGCTGGGCTAGACGCAAATCTACATTTGACCCTCTGGAGATCCAGGAGTGTGGGGGACAAGAGCAACAGTGAAGAGTATCATCTGAGTCAAACCAGGCATTGAATTTTTCCCTGGTATGGTAGCATTAGTAACTCATTCTCCTTCAATACGGGATTTTAACACTGAAAAGGCTCGAGAACACAATGTAAGAAGCCTTTACAATTGCTGTTGAAGAATCTGATGACTTCTGCAACTGTCAGGCATACTTAGGCTGTCACTCAAGCCTGTCACTCAAGTTCAGTCCTTTGTGATCTGCTGTAGGATAAGGCTGCCTGTCCTGTTTAATTTTGGTCTAGACAAATTATGCACTATGTCTTTCCTGAAAAATCCATGAATATTTATTGCTCAGTGAATAACCAGCCCATAAAAAAAGCCAGCTGATTCAGCCAGGGTAGGAATGGTTTGCAACCATTGTTGTCATTATTCTGTTATTACCACATAAGCCAGGGATGAAAATGACCTATTAGACCATTCAGTGCAACTTCCTGCAAATTCAGGACTCTTACGCATTAGAGCTTTATCATTAGATGCTATAGAGAGAAAGAACCTTTCAGAAAATAACAGTATTCAAAAAGCACTTGTCACTTAATATATTTTAATGTCAAAAAGCCAAGAATTTATCTCAGTTATTCAAATCCACACGTCAAATTAACATCCATTTAAACTAAAATTAGGAATGCTTTCTTTTGCAAAGAACTTGAAGCAAATGAAATGCTCTTTGGAGAGCTCCTAGTCACTTCTTCTTTCACAAGAGAGCAGAACAATGTTTCTTTGGTGAGAGTGCTGTCAGTATAATACAGCAGTTGTGAAATTTAAGGCATTACACAATGCACAGAGGAGCCAGAAGTTTAGCCAAACAAAAGCAGGCACCAATATGGGTTTTGACTGCTGGTAGCTCCCCTGAAAATACTCCATCCACCTGGTAGCTTCAGAGCAGCCCTTGCTTGGGTGGCATTGCTGGAGAGAGACCCCAGCAAAAGCCTTACCAGGGCTGGGTGTTTGAGGTGGGACGTTAGAGTGCATAGAATCACAGAATGGTTTGGGTTGGAAGGGACCTTAAAAGATCATCTAGTTCCAACCCCCTTGCCATGAGCAGGGACACCCTCCACTAGACCATGTTGCCCAAACACTTCCAGGGAGGGGGCCTCCACAACCTCTCTGGGCAACCTGTTCCAGTGCCTCACCACTCTAACAGTAAAGAATTTCTTTCTAACATCTAATCTAAATCGACCCTCCTTCAGCTTGAACCCATAAACACTTCAGCTTAAACCCTTAAACAGAGCACCTGCTCTGTGTCCTGCAGCTCTGTGTGCAGGATGAATTTCAATCACAAAGCTGGTCCCTGCTAACTCTCCAGAGTGGTAAAGTGACGAGGGGAACAAATAAAATAACTACTCTAAGGAAAAGCTCAGTTATGTTTATCGCCTCTGCAACAGGTACACGGAGGCTTTCAAGATGTGAAATTCAGAGTCAAAAAACCACATAAATACACCTCTCTTGGCAGAGGAACTCTGCTCATCTGGCAGAGGTTGGCTGCAGGGACGAGGAAAGGATTGGGCATGTCTGGAGAACAGAAGATGTTTGAAGCATGGACTCACCTAAATTAGAGTGGAAGGACCTAAAGAAGCTGCCAAGCCCACCTGTGCCTCAAAAGCAGCCATACCTGCAATGCTCTCTGCAAACACTTCTCTAAGCTGTTTTGCTTGTTTAATTCCCAGCGCTAGCATTGCACAACCATCACTTTCTCTCTAGGGCTTTACTTATATTAATTTTTTTCAGGGTGTCTGAGATGGATCTCCTTAATTGCAGTTTTAACTTCTATCTGTAGTCCTATCTACAGTGGACGTGGGGAACAGCCCATCCATTTGCCTTGTGCTTATCTGTCTGAAGCCCAGTATTGTCTTCTCTACCCAAGTCTCCCTAGGCTAACCCACCCCATCTTCTTCTGGCCTCCTTCACTGACCAAGCACTTCAGCTATCTGGAAGGCTTCTGTCCTCCCTTCTAGCCCTCCCTCCAAAAGACTGAAAAATCAAGACAGTTTGCAACATCCAGACACAATCCCTGAAGATGCCGAAAGTCCAGGTCGCAGTGTTTGTTTTGCAGAAGAGATTCAGCCAGGAGCGATGCAGCTGAGTCCTTCGGACATTGAACATGGGTGCTGGTGGGTCCTTCTGTAGAGCAATGCCACCGCAACCAGCCCTGTCCTGCACCCCAGGGTGTCTCAGCCCCGTGTGAATGGAGAGCAAACCCGGGACTGACTCGGTGGCACAGAGTCAGGCAGAACAGGCGCTGGTGTAACTTTACACCATACTCAAACTTCCTGTGGTTGCTGTTCAAATAAAGAGGCATTAAAGGTAAAAGCAGAAAAATTAGTGTAATTTCAGAGCAAACATAGGGATACAACCCAAATACAGGGAAACATAGTGAACCCGAACGAGCATTATATGTTGTCAGTGCAATTGATTTAAAGTCAATGAGCTGTGTGCACTCAGGAAAGCTTTGAAGGCTTCCCAAGTCCTGCACAGAGCGATCTGACAAGGGGACGCAGAAATTTGACAGACTGGCTGGGCTGCGTGCCCAGAGCTCACCTGATTTCTGGTGCAGGCGATGCACTTCTTGCTCTCCTTCCCTGGACAAAAATATGGAAATAGTATGGCAAATATTACAGAAAATACATGTTGGGACAGAAGGGTTCCATTTTATCCACACTGAAAGGCAGCCCTGGCCTCAGTCATGAGCCAGCGAGGACGCTGATAAACCTGAAATTCGTATTTCTAGGTGATACTCAAGTTTTTTTCTTTCAAAGTTTCTGCTGAAGTGATTCACAGCAGGCTATTTTCTGCTCAGGGCCACAACAAATATGGAAGTTAAGGACTGCAGCTTTGTACCTCTGAAAACGCAGAACATCCCAAAGCCCAAAGTGTCTTACGGAGGGATGACAACAACTCTCGCACAGAGCAATAAAGAGATTGAGTCATTAGTGCCAAATCAGCATAAATATTTCAATAGGAGAAAGAAATATCTCCTGAGCAAACCTACACAACTTCAAAATGCAGCATTGTAATCTGAAAGCGTTCCTGACGCAGCTGTAGAGCTAGTTCATGGGAGAGGCAGAACATTGACAATGGTAACGAGTCATTTAAGTCAACTGACATGTCTACATGTGTCATAAACCGGAATGGTAAGAGTGAGAGAAAATTAAATTATTCAGTATATGTATGTGTATATATGTGTGTGTGTGTGTAGCTATAATTTCCAACTCTGTGTGTCCGTCATTGCATAGGAGGAATGTGAAAAAGCTGGGAGGCAGGCCTGTGACTCATGGGAAATTGGAGTTATGGAGAGCATCCAGCCACAAATATAAATCCTGCTGCCATTCTGCCAGGAAATCTGGCTGGATTGTTGAAAAGTCAGTGCAGAGGGTGCCGTGGAAATTGAAGGAGGAGATAGAATACTGTGGCTGAAAATTTCAGATGGGGAAAAAAATACCACACTTTCACCCTTCAGAATTTAACATCTAATGCGGGTTAATGAAGAGAGGAACCATGAAGAAACTGTATTTTAAACACAGTTATATAATGCTGAAAATCTCTCTGTTTCTGCCTTTGTCTCTCTGTCTCTTCCCCTCTTGTCTTCTTTTTTAAATCTTCTTTTATTTATTGACTGAACCAGGAACATGATCTCTAGAGAGGGAGGGAATTCCAGATTCTTGACATTTGGGGATTTTGGGGAAGGTTTTGGTCCTGATCCAGCAATTCACTCAGTCTATGCGATCCCTCAGAGTACTTGAAATATTCCGAAGTCCCATATAAATCTGTATTTAGAATTAAAACTGGGATTCTGCTATTGCTGGATCTCAGGTCATGGAGAAACAGGCAAAGGGAGCACTCACAGGTGGTGGTGAATTGGAGCACAAGCATACACACTTAGATGAGGTGGGCTTTCATCAAAATAAAAGACAATTCAGATTTGTACCTCGGGTCTTCAGAAACCATGGTGGCAGCCCTGGAGTTGTAAAGATAAACATAGCTTGTATCTTGGACCTTCAGGGTGGCAGTATGTTATAAATGACACAGAACCACCGAATAAGCATCCAACTTCCCTTGACTGCAAGTTGCCCTCTTCTTATTTGTGATTTTTCTGTGCCCGCTGGTGTGTGTGTTTGTGTGTGTGTACCTGTAGACACATACCGAGAGAGAAAAAGTGGCCGGGAACTAGTCAGTGTGCGCAGCGCAGGCAAAA